AATGACACACCCAATGGTTTGGTTGAGGCTATCGACCTGTTGGATGAGCAGATCGTATTCCTCCTGTTGCTGGTGTCGGTCACTCTTGAGCTGCCGGATGTGTTCGGCCGCCTTCTGAAGCATCGCTGCTTTACTAATTTTAGTGTTAGTGCTTTGACTGATTGACGGCAATAGACTCTTAAGTGTGTCGAAGCCGTTCTTAATATTGCACCGACGCTTCTGCTCGGCGTTTATGTGACAAACTCTTCGGTGCTCTTTATATTGGATCCGGTCTTTAGTTGTCTTAGGTTTCGCAGTATTAGTTGGGGAACACATGGATGGCGGCGATGGAATCGATTGAATGCTCGCAAACTTGTCGTTATATGAAGACATAGAAACGGGCGATGAGTGAGATTTGGCGAGTGATGGCATTTGGGGTACAATAGAGACCATCGATGGCGTTGAAGGAGTCGAACAAATGTTAGGATTGGATTGCATTACAAAATTTGGTTTAATATTTGGCGCTAACTGTCCAGCGATTGGCAAAATGTCAGTCTCTCGAAGTTTTGGCGAAAATAACTGAGTTTTATCGGTATTCGTGACACTTCTGATGCCAATACAGGAGGCGTCGATAGTTGTGGGCCTTTCGCTCGTATTGTTAGACAAATTCAAATTCTGAGCTGCGGTTGGATTGACTGTTGAGTACATCTGTTGTGAATTATCGTTTGAAATGTTATTCAATGAGTTTGAGGTCAGAAGACGTGCGATAAGAGTGCTGTCGCTCGTAGATCCCTGAGACATGTCGTATGGGTTGGAGACAACCATTTGCGGGGCTGACATGTATTGCGGTGCAGAATATGAGTTCATATTATTTTGTGCAATCATTTGCAACTTATTGGCCATCGGTTGCAGCGATTGTTGCAATGGGTATGAAATGTTAGACACGGAACCACTGTTTGAAGCACTGGGAAAGTTGGCGTTTCTCGGCATCGAAACGACACCTTTGCGGCGCTCTTGAGTATAGAGGGGCAGAGAAGATGAGCGCTCGAAGCTTGGGTTACCTCTGGGAGAGTAAATATTTGTCATCGAGACGGCAGACGTCGGGATTGACATCAGAGGCAGTGTTTGAATGCCAATCGCTTCGCGGTTGATATGAGGCGTCGAAATGCTTCGTTCGCGCGATCGTTGTTTGTTTGCCATCGACTTCGGGGACACAAACTTCTGATTACTGGCTTCAGGAGATGAGACACTCTTTGCCACTGAATTCGTGTACTTCTTTCTCATTGGACTACTTTTGACACCAAAATGTTGAGGAATAGGGCTAATGGAGTGCGAATAAGAGGTATTGTTTGATTGAGCAAATTCATTGGCCACAATCGATCGGCTGTTCGTGTGAACGGACGGTTGGCTTCGGCTGAAAGGCACTGAGTTTTGTGCGCCAATCACTGGCGACCCATATTGAGTGTATATCGAGTCCAGCATTGGCTTCGATTGCATAGATTGCATGGGATTCTGAATGGCATTCATTTCATTCATCGCTGGCAACGATTGAATGGGACTCTGATTGAGAGCCCGTTGGGGCACCGGTGGTGGCATTGGATCCAATTTAAACGATACGTGTAAATCAGAATTCGATCGATTCGTTTGAGCCGAAGTTTGTGCCATAGATTGTGTCAAATTCTTGTTGTCCATAGAATAGCGAGACATCTGATTGGAAGGCGGCCTCGAGTTTGACTGACCAAAGAGTGCGTTCAGCAATTCTGGAGATGACATCTCAGAAATCTAGTCATTGAAAACATCGTAAACATACATATTATTGAAACCAAACATTTCATTCACTTACCGATTGGTTAATCTGTGCATTTTGTTGGCCGACAAGAATATTGTTATCAATATTAGTCTCTTCCTGTAATGTTGGCAAAGAAGGCATATTCTTCTGCGGGAAAAACAGTTCTACAAAAGCAAAAACTTATTATTTTATAAAACTATACAAAAATGATGCAAAAATACAAACCGGGTTCAAACGTATCCATAAAAGAAACATCATCAATGTTAGACTGTAGTAGTTGCGTGAGTCCGGGTTGCATAAACTCGGCTCCCATTCCACTTCGAGCTTTACAAATAAATTTATATGCATTAGAAAATAATTTAAAACTACAAAGGGGTAGCGGTTGGATCGTATAAACCACCATTGTCAAACTCAATTGTCATTAAAAATGGATATTATATTCAATACAAACCTATTTCGCGAGGGTTTGGAAAAGGATTTGGAAACATATTTGGTTGAAATAATTGAGCGAACAGTGGATCCGTAAAATCCATCATATAATCATCGGAAGGGCTGTCCGTCAAACTGTTGAAACTTGTCATACAATTCTCCCAATCAAATGATATCTTTATTAAAATTAAACACCGATATTAATCACAATTGTATTTCCATCGCAATCAATATCACTCACATTAGGACGCGAAGGCGTTTCGGGCCGACCCTCCTTTGTTTGGTAGTTATAGAGTCGCCACTTGTTGTACTCAGCAATGACGGCAGCGAAATGTCTTTTCCAGTATTTACCCTCCATTATGACCGCTTCGACCTTTTTATGGCGATCGCTGTCCACCGGCGATGAGAATTGACAAACAATTGGATTCCGTCCGGCGATGTCTGCAAACGGAAAACAAAAAGTGAAAATGAGATGTAAAGGCGGTGAAGGGTGTGATGGAGTGTGTGATGGGTTCGTACACTGTATATGCCAGGCCCGCCATATGATATTATTGAGACGGATTTTGTCCTTGATGTTGAGTTTGAGGCCTTTGAATGACTTCCACCTTGGTGATGTAATCTTGCCACTATAGGCCAAACTCATGCACTCAAATAGTTTGGTCAGTGAGCCATCGATGGAGACTTTGTTGGAAGAGAAGGGTCCGCCATAATATGTTTGTGTCGTTTCCTTGCAATTGGTCTCCAAATCATATTTATTCAAAGTGTCGTTCGCCTCAACGGGTCTCTCAAAGTCGGATTCGCGCGATTCGTTGGCCTCGAGTTCAATGATTTGTTCGCTTTCATCGATTTCAGACACCATGAAGTGTCCCGAATGTATTGTCTCGCCTCTGGATATCTTCCTCAGCGGTGTGTCACCGGATGTGTCGCCACTCATTGCCTGTGCGTCGTTCTGCTGGACCATGGATTCCATGATGTCTTGAAACCCAAATCCACTGATCATTGTCGCCATACTTAACATTAATGCTAATCCAATGAAAACAAATATATTACTCGTATTAAATCCAATTTATTCGCTAATCAGTAATCGATAGTATAGTTAAAAACAAATATTCAAAAACTTATCGATAAAATAAACTCATTGTAAGCAAATATTTTGGTTATGTTTTTCATTAAATATTCTCAATGTATCCAAAAATACACTTTTTTATTACTTTCTAAATCAATGAATTGGTGTTTTCAATGATAAACTTGTAACTTCTAAATACAGTATATATTTAAATATATTAATAGTTTGCAAGCATTATATTGTAAATTATATACTATCTAGTTATAGCAATGGAATAAAGTTATATATAACAATTTTTATATACGTTATAAATTAATAATTATAATAATAAGTAGTAATTTAATAATAATGAATGCGTTTATATTTAACTCACGTTTCGAAATGTAATTTTAAATGTAATTTTTAAAAATGATATTAAAATTAAAACAATTTATTATTAGTCAGTATTGACTTAAAAAGGTATTAATAGAGAATACAATGTAAACAAACAAAACTTGAAATTTAGACATTAATTTAATGGTAACAACAGAAGTGTTGATTTGCAAGTAATATATTTAATATCAATAATAATTATACTCAAGATATATGGATATGCAGTATATATGGGAGACTAAATACAAGGCTGAGTTAGTTAGCAAATCAAGACATGAGAGGATTAGATAAGAGATTCAGTCGTTTAATTGATTCATACACTAATCGATTAAACGATTACTTTATTTACCAATCGATAGGGAAATTCAAATTTCAGACACAATTACTTAAATTACTAATCAATACACTAATACTTTTGATCCAAATATTATTATAATGACTATCAATAAAGCTGGGAATTAATATTTTGTGAAACTCGCAAATATGTTTACATTAATCTATATAAGTCTATATTTTACAAATATATTAATAAAATAATTAAACTTATAAGAAGTTAGTTATAAAAAGAGTTATTATTAATAACTTATTAGTTATATATTACAGTACAATAAGTCCTCCGAAAAAAATGTGACTATAATTAAAATTTTAGTCACATTTTTTTGTTACAATCAATAGCTATTATTGTTAATAATAGCCTATTATAAACTAGTCGTGCATTTTGTGTATCAAATAATAATGTGGTTTGTATTGATTCAGGATCTTAAGACCAAACTATTGTTAATAATAGTTAATAGTTGTCATAATTTTCAACATTTGTTATATATTATAAATAATCGATTCGTGTCTTTGTATACAAATCTATTTGTGGGACATTTAATCGATATATGAATGCTATTCACGTGTATTCATATAACAAGAATTATTTCACATAATATTTAGCATTACTTACAGTAAGAATGTTAAGTAATACGTTAGACACAAATACTTTTCACAAACTTTTTATATTAAATAAATATTTATACATTTTGTTCAATAAAACACAAACTTAGTAATTATATCATTTTTATATTAAAAGGGCATAGTTTAAAAAAGACTTATAAATTATAAAATTATATATAAAATTATAAGTCAAAAATCTAAACCTTTTCACATTTAAAATTGTTTTCATTTCAATAATAATGATAAAAAATAAGCACATTATTAAGAATTGTATGTTTTTCTAATTATAATAATAATTGTATTGTTTATACAATAAATACTCTAAATTAGTGAATAAATTCTGTGACATATTGTATACAATAGTGAACTAACGACTAATATATCATTTGTTTGGGGCGAGGATTGGGGCCGACCTTAATGCTCATATGACTAGGGATGCAAATTTCACTGAATTTCATTTAGGCTAAATTTTCATAAAAATGTGAAATCTTCATATGTTTTTCAACTATATACTTTTAATGTGGTGAAATATATGAACATAAAACTAATTAAAACATTTTCTATTTAAGATAATAACGAACAATGTTTTGGTTTTTTAAATATTTTAAATTTATCAAGATTCTTGTAAATTCTGTTATATATTCTGTGAATATTTTACTTAAGTATTATTTCTAAAAGTCTACTTTAAAATAACAATTAATTTACACCAAATAAAGTATTATGTTAACTATTTAAATAAATCATATTTTGATAATAGTTGTTAATTTAGTTTAAATTACATAAATTAGTGATTTATTTAGTAAATAGTGCCATATAGATGTCGCTAATATAGATGCCGTTGAAAATTTAACCTAAATGTTCATCGAGACCCTTAAACGTTCCCTAAATTTAGGCCTAAACGTTCCCAAACTTTCACCACATCTCTAACGTACCCATAATTAACCTTTAACCAACTTTAAAATAGCCCCTAGGTTACATACACTCCTTATAATCACTTTCCCTATTATTAGTAATAATTTATGCAATGCTTTATTGTATATCATATTTAAATACATAAATACATAAGTAATATATTATATTAAAACCATATATTAAACATTTATTATTTTTTGGTATCAATTGACAGCAAAATATTCAAAGAATGTATGAATAAATATAAATGTCTCAAATATTTTCATGTATTTGTAATTAATAGAGAAAATATTGTCATTTTAAAATTGTTTTCATAAAATGCTGTCTAATTATTAGACTCTAATATTAATGCCATGTATTTTAAGTGCAATTTTAGTGCAAAATATTTTTTATTTTTAACCAAAAAAATTAAATATTAGAGAAAAATGATTTAAATTAATGGCTTATAAATGAGAGATTGAGTGCAATGTATGCCACTATCGATGGTTTACTTAAAAGTGTAAATAAAATGTGAGCAAAAAGTTTATATTTTTCAGTTAAAAGTATTAAATATTGTGAGAAAAATTGCGATGCGATTAGAAATGGGTTATTGTATTCGCAATATTTTCGTAGTGTTATGCAATAATGACTGTAATCGATAAACAGCACTACTGAGCAGTGGTGTGAGTAGCCAGACATATGAGCGATAAACACATTCAATGCACTGTCAATGCTAGCGCATAACACCACGAAAATATTGCGAATACAATA